AGTATAGTTTTAGAGAGAAGTTCCAACCTGAGTAAATGAGCTCCATCCACTTCACTATTTATACCCCAGGTAGGGTCGACCAGGGTCCGAGCATGACGTACTTTACCCCTGTCATGCGCCCCGACATTCTGACACCAGGCCTTGTCACTGAGGCGCATGGCCCCACTTCTTGTTCCCTCCGTACGTTCCCGGCCGTTGTCACTTTTGTCGTTATACGCCTTACGTCATGCTCGGACCCAACGCCTAGGTTACAACCTCAGACCACTTTTGGGATGGGCTTTTCCCTTGCCAGGCCCACATCCTTGGCCCTTCTCAACTCTCTGGGCTCTTCTCTTGGGCCCCCGAATGCCCCCAACAGTAGCTTTGTATTTTCACTAAGTTGTCAAATTGTATAAGTTTGATATCCTTATAATTTTGAAATTTTATTATATTGTCATAAAGAGATGAATATATACCATTAACAAAAAATAGAATTATCCGGCCAACCGGCCGGGGCCACAATCTAGTTAATCTACACATAATATAATACACCGAAGGGAAAAACGGGAGCCCCATTTCAAATTTCCTGCAATGAGAGTGAAAGTAGGAAGGACATTTTGGTCTTCACAATTACTTTTTTTTATTCATTAAAAAGATACATACTGGGATTCGAACCATGACCATTTTAAAGAAAGGCAAAGATCATAACCAATCACACTAAATACATTTGTTGTATCTTTTTAAATTAAAAACATATAATAGCAGGGTGGGAAAAACTCTTCCCCTATTTCAAATTTTCTATTCCATGAGCGTTTGTAGGAAGGGTGGAATAGGGAATGTCAATTTTTTTCTCTTTCCTCTGTGGAACGGGCCAACTTACCGTACACATGCGGATTTAAACGGGTCCAGGAGTGTCAATTTTTTTCTTTATACCCTTTTATTTCTCCGTGGTGATAAAATATATATGAAAAGACAAAAATAATACTCCTTTTTATTATTAAAAATAAAAAATTTAACAATAAACTAATGCATGGTATCTAATGGGCTAACCGCTAACCATAAAACAAAAGAGTTGAATGAGCCTGACCTACATGGGATTTGGTCATCAAGTAAAACAAATGAACATCATTGGTTTGCCATTCTAAAAAAAACTATTTTCTCTGACATAATATATATTATGCTATTATTTTATATCTTAGTGGCTAAAATATAATGTATTTTAAAGTTATTCAATGGTTCAACCTCGACCAACTCAATTAGTCCAATTTTTATCATTTCAAATATATATTTTATAATTATTTGACTTCATAATGATCAAAATATAGTGTATTTTATAGGGAATCGTTTGGTATTTGTTAGTAAAAAACTAAACATAAAGATCTATTTGGTTATTTTAAACATTAAAACGATCCTAAACATTTTCAGTTCCTTTTGAATTTATATGGTTTTATTCCCAAATAAGTGATGTGCAAATGGCGAATTGTAGTCGTCTCTTTTCTTTCACTATTTTTTATTTTCAAACATAAAGTTTAAAAGTAAAGAATAATTAGAATTTGGCATGGGTCGGTCAAACAGGTTGAATTTCAAGTTTTGGCCTGTTTGTTTTATGCATTGCAAATTTATTAACATGTTGATGGAAATGGCTTGGAAAAAAGACATATAAGTTGTACCTTTGCAGAAATGTCCTCAAATGTTTGAATGCTTTGTGAATCAGGTTCTGTGACTTTTGTGATGGTGTATGTGCTTGACGATTGCTCGATGTTGTAACTACTTAATTTGAGAGTAAATCTTTTGATTTTCCCTATGAGTTGTGATACCAGTTCTGGTGGTTGCAGCATGTTGTCGTTGTTGGCCTGTAAAAGTTGTTCCGTCGTGATGCTAAATACCTTTCTTTCTTTTTTAACAAATTGTGTAGTAGTGCTATGAAACAGACCACCCATGAACGCTACGCTTATTATGGTCTGTTCTTACTTCCGGTGGTGAGAAATTGTGAATTGAGAATCATATTCGCCTACCGCACTGTGTCTGGTTGGTGGCTGCTTACTATGATCTCTAGAGTTATGAAACAGACTACCCATGAATGTTACCCTTAAGAGTCCATAACTTTGCGAAAAACCAAATTTAGGCAATCAAAGGTGGTGGATGTTTGATGATTTTTTATGGCTTAATTGGTTGTGAATTGGATATCTGATCTTTGTATGATTAGAGGGGATGTTTGCTTAATAGAATAATCCATTTTAATTCATATTTATTTTTAACATGAATTTTAGTAACTCAAAACCTTCGAGACACATATCACCTACTGCATTGTATCATTTTGCCTGGGTGCTTGCTGTGTTGTCAAACTTCTTTGCTGCTGCTGCTGCATTTACACTAACAGGGGAGTTAAGAACCCATGAATGTTTCCGTTTGACACAAACAAGAGGACTTACTTCTAAATCGTGCACTAAAGATGATTGGAGGAAACATCTCTGTTGCAGTTGATACACTGGAGACCAGAACAAAAGCAACGTATAACATCAAAACCAACCATCTGAACTATTAGCATTGTTGCTTTACTCTTTTTTCGTGGTTGAGTATCCTTCAAAAAATTTAGTTTGATTTTAGAAAATTTTGCTTCTGCAGTCCTGTCTTGCCACCAACGCGTTCAATAGATGGAGATGGCAGAGGCGAAGGCTATTTTTGTGTTGTTGTTGCTGGTTTAGGGATCGGTTTGTGAAGAAGAGGGAGAAGAGAGGGGGAAAGGGAAATGCATGAGAGGGGGATAACTCTTTTCTCCGACAAAAATGGAGTGAAGAAAGGAATTATGATCAGTAAGGATATGGTTATCTTACATAACTGTGTCTATTCTGTTTGAATTGAGCTTGGGAGGTAGTGATAAGGACGAGCTGCAACCAATTCATAGTGATAAGAGTGCTATGAACTGTGATCATGTATTATTTTAAGTTAGAAGGTAGTTTCAGTATAAGGATTATTTAAGTTGACAAGTTGTTTCGTCCATGATTTTTGGTAGTTTCAGTGCCATTCTAGCCATTGTTTAGTCTGTAATTTTTGAGAATTGATGTGCGAGTAATGACTTTCACTTAGCTTCAACTATTATGTGTGTATTTATTGGCATGTGATAGAATTCTCTTTTCCTTTTCTTTGATATCAGTTTCATACTCTAATTGTATCATTTGTACATAGGCAAATCATGCTCGAGATGACAACTCGCCGATATGGCTGGTGCAAGGAATGAAGCCATCATTAAAATTCAGACCGACAACGGGGAGGGATGCCTAGGACTAATTCAACGATGATTGATGATGGTATGATAAAAACTGCAGTCTGCATCAGCACCAATTTCTAGGACTAAGTAAAGTTATTCAACCCAGAACTCTGCTTAGCGCTAAAAATTGCCCTCACCCAACATTGATCCTGTTTGACCCACTTCTGAAGAGTCAAGATATATTACTAATTCTCTCTGTTCGTATTTTCTTATTGACTCTTTCTGACCCTTTAGGTTGGGGCGGGTCGGGAAGAATCAGATTAGTGGGTCGGTCCTAATCAAGTGGAATCACAATCCCTTCACTCTCACTTGCTTTCTCTCCCATTCCACAAGTGGGTAACATACAGTAATCCGGCCAACGGGCCGGATAATAAGCTAGTAAATAGTAAATACTAAGTGTAGTCTTTGCACTCTCCTCGGCCCTCGCCCAACCCCAATGCTCTCCCTATCTTGCATAGATATAAGATATTACACAAAAGATAATCCGATATAAGCAAGGGGACAAAGATAAAAATAAATAAATAATTCTACGCACTCAAATTTGAGGAAAGACGATCCTCTAAAACTAATTTGGTTATAAAAAAATGTTTTCCTGGGCAGTTTTGATATTTGCAGTTTGTTTATGATCATGTGAAAGTTGTATCTTTATTTTCTTGGTAATACAAGTGACTTTTGATAAATTTTTTGTTTATATTTTTAATTTTAAGAGTTAAAATTTTTTGTATAAATTATATACAATTTTACTTACAAAAAAAATTGAGTTTTATCTGAAATTTTAAACAATCTATTGCAAAGAAACCAGATCCACAATAGTGTCATCCGAAATCTAATAGACTAATGATAATATCTTAGAGGGCTCCTAAACCCTAAATCGTACAAGCAAACGACCCCTAAATGATTATAGAGAAATTCATATATAATAGTCTAACTATCATCTTATAACCACCTCAACTAGGATGATATGATTTTCCTATGTGGACAAGCTTTCAAAATATTTCTTATCACTCTTCAATCTCCTATACCTCCCAAATGTCATGACGTACTCACAATATGAATGTTCCAAAATCGAATATTGTTATTCTAACAACTTGGCTCCATGGTTGCGGAGGCCATACTAAGTTCAACAAGATCATTGGTGTCTAACAATTTTGGTTTAGTTGGAAGTTGTTTGAGGATAAAATTCAAAAACCCGCCCTTTTGCATTCTACAACCAACGACTATGCCAAGAATACTCCACAATAATGATCTTGATGAAGTGACCATGGCCTCCTCAAACCATAAGATCAGTGAAGTTGTTGGAATTACAATCCAAGCGTCAGACATCATTTTGCGAGCCATATCCTACCACCTTTGATAGGTTGTGGAGGCTCAGTACTTGGGAGGTGACAAAATTTGTTGAATCTTTTTATTTTTCTTGTTCGTTTTGGCATAATACAATTGATCTCAATTCTAATAAGGAACCCAATTTTGAGTAGTTATTATAGAGATAAAAATTGTCCTAGAGAAATGCATTATGCATGGAAATACTACACTATGGTATGTAGTGAATGGATTCTTCACATCAACTTCCCCACAAAATGCATGAGTTGTACTAATTAGGAAGTCCCAAAGACTATTAAATTGAATACATTCTCCACCTTATGTTATCAATTAAGTAGTAGAATTCACACAAAATGTAATCAATTCATTCATGCAATATATAAAATAATCTTCCACAAAATAAAAATAAAAAGATATAAAATTACTCATTACAATTCACAAAATCTATTCATTTTCTTCCTACTTCCCTCATATTTTCAATTCAACCTACCACCTAAGAATTGCCATGGCACCTCAAGGTACCACAAGATCTATCTCATGCATTATGCCATTATCCACCACTTCCCTATGAAGTCATCCAGCCACCTTAAAGTTGACTTGGCACCTCAAATATAACTTTGTTGAAGTTCCATGATAATCCAACTTAGCTCTTAATCATCGAAGCCGCTTTTGTAATCAGCCTCACTCTTCAAAGGGAAAACACACTTCAAAACTGGATTATTTAGCATCAGGTGAACCACGTTGCGAGCCATCCCACTACCACCATAGTTTTGGAAGCACCATAAGAAACAGAAAGAGCCCACATTGGAAAGACTTGGCACAGCCAAAATGTACAATCTAAGTTCCCAATTCATGACAAAAGTAGCGATAGCAGTAAACAGAAGCAAAAATATGAAAACAGTAATGTTTCCCTTGGTAGCACTTGATTTGCATAGTACTGGAGAATCAAAGGCAATAACAAGTTCAAATGTATTTTATTTCATGACTTCATATAGCCGTCATTAGCCAAATGGTAGCTGTATCTCTTTCCAGCCTACAAACTCCAAAATTACCAAATAACAACCTTCACAAACACCGCGTCTCAACCCATTCTCCCCACCAAATCCTGCATGAACAATAACCATGTATCAATGTTTATAGATTCACAGAAGCAAGCATAGCAACCAGCAGCATAGATCGCTAGTGGATAATAAGCAAACAAATAGAGTACAACAAATAAGTCTACCAGTCATACTATGGATGTCCAAGTTCTGTTGGCAAACACGCACCTGCCATATTGGATAGCAACCAACGAGTACATATAGGCTAACAAAAGCTCTTATTCGAAGAAATCATAGCCAATTCGAAGACTTCCTATAGTGGCTATGCGCTTCTACTTTGGTGTTGTACTCACCAAACAAGAGCACAATAAGATGAAACACAGAAATAACAAGATAAGAATAAACCCAAAAGAATCAGATAACCACCCAGAACAGAGAGAAAGGACCTCAGGATCCATGCTCAATCATAGTCAGGATTCCCTATTAATTCCTCTTGTTCAACAAAACGTGCAAAACACAACACAAACTCAGAGGACCGTGGAATATATTTATCTCTCGAAATGGCTCCTGACTTAAGTGCACAACAAATTCAGCGACTTCTTCAGGGTTTCACATCACAGGCATAAATTCTAAACGACATCTCTCTGTAGTAAGTACACATAAACAAGCAGACAACCATGGACACAATGATCCATTTTTCCTTCTCACCTCTATCACCAACTAGAGTTATGAGATGTCCCAATATTCAGTCAAAAGAACCCAGCTCTAAAGATTCAAAGTTTAGATATTGAAAGGAAACACGAAAAATGGAGATAATTTGCTCGCACACACATAAGACCACATTCTCAACCATCGGAGAATCATACAACAGACATCACTTACCAAGGGGAAAAGATAGATGAGCATTTGCTGATCCCCAATGAGCATTAACAAACTACTGAATTCCCCAATTCAAGACGAACAAACTCCCGAGGTATAATAGTAGGCAGTAGCCCGATTGAATCAATCAAGTACACCAATTGAGCAGTAAAATCAACACATATTTCATTGATGTACAATTCACGATCTAAAGGGTAAATCAAATCTCGCCCAGATGCAAACAACAACCACCAAAAGACTACCGCACCGATTGCTTTCATGCAAATGATTCGCGGACAAACAGATCATATATACTAATACAACCAGTGGCGGAGCCAGGAAATTGGCTAAGGGGGTGTCTTTATCATATCATAAAAAATCACCTATACAATAGAAAAATCAACTTTAAATTAAACAAAAAGTCAACAACGCAATACTCTAAAGTCACACAATTACATTAAAATAGTTTCACGTACACCGGTTACAACGTCAAACAAATAAGTTCAGTACATACAAATCAAGACTTACATTCATCAAATATTACAAATTACAACTGAGAAGTACCTTGGAATTGATTTTGTGAAACAAACAAGTGAACTTCGATTGGTACTTCTTCACTTTCAACTTTGTTTAAACAAAAGACAAGAAATTTCTCTGTTGTAGAGCTACAAAAAAAAAAATGAGCGAGTTTAAACAAAAGACAACAATTTATTACTATAAATAAAGACGAAAGTGCATTACATAACAAAACTCACTCGATCGAAATGATAAGAAATTCTTCCTGCAACTGAATGGTCATTGGTTCGAATTTGTATATACCCCTACTCGAAAAAAATTTCTCCAAACCCAAGGGGGTGCAAAGCACCCCTCCTCTCCAAGTGGCTCCGCCACTGAATACAACTCATGAATATTGCCAACGAATGCCCACCATCTTTCACGGGAAAACAAAAAGAACGAATAGTACACAACCTGAATTGCAGAAAATCGAAGGAAAAGATCAGTGACCGCCGTGCTCTTTGGCATGCTGCTGGTGCTCCAAATGGCGGCGCTCTTCCGGGAGGGCGACGAGATAAGAGAAGATCATCCCGCCGAAGCAGACGTGGTATAGCGGGTCGATGGAGCTGGTCTGGATGTACTTGGCGTGGTAATTGTCCAATCCTTTCTGCAGAGATTTCTTCACGAAATCGAGGGAGAGCATCGGCTTCACGTGGTCAGGGACCTCCTTCACCTTCAGCCCCTTAATCTCGTTGTAGAACCTCCGCATCGCCATTTTTTTCTCTCTTCCGATCGCAACTGTTCGCGAGAACCCTAAGCACCGGACTCGATTTCGGATTGGGAGAATTTGGGGGAAATGCGGGAATGGGGATCGGAGACGTGCATCTGAGCGTGTTTGTAGAAGTAGGTGTGTTCAAATGGTTACCATGGTTATAACCAAATCAAATAAGGCTAAATTTCATTAACAATGGAATACAATATCATAACCAAACCGTCTAAACTAATACAACAACAATATTAACCAAACTAAAGTTTAATCGGTTTGGTTAGTTGGTTAACCTGATTAACCAATATAAAATCACATTATCATTAACGATGAAAATTTTCCAGTTAATGCGACAATTCGTCATTTATATAATGAATAAAACATAACAATCAACACGTAGTTATAGTTTATCCTTAACAAAAATACATGCATTTAAGACAATTATCTTACGATTAGTATAGAAGTATTCACCTAACAAAAATTTATGACAATGGTATGGGTTAATGAATTGTTGTATTTGTATAAATTGACTTAGTCTCTTAGCAATTATCATAGGCTGAAAATGACCTTCCTTTCAAGTTTTCATCCATCATAATGTATGAAATTTATCTAAATTAGATGTCCATATGTTGTGGTCTACACTTTACATATACAAATATACACTATATGAGCAATATTGAGCTTTATATTTATGATTCTAAAAGGAATAAACGTTACCTCTTGAGTGGTTATGCAAAGTATTAAGTATGTGTATATAATATATATGTTAGATATATGACTAATTACTTAACTGGTTAATTAGGTTTGACTGGTTAGGAGTGTCTGAAACCAAACCAAACCACCTAAACCAAACAAGCTAAAAACTTTAACCAAACCAAACCAATTATCCAAATTAACCAAACCAAATTATCCAGATAGTACCGGTTAAAACGGTTACCACGATAACCAAACCGTTTGAACACCCCTATGTAAAAGTGGACGAGCTTATATTGTGAACTGGACGACTTGGTGATGCGCCTAACATTTTTGAAAATGATCCTAGTTTAGACCTCAACGAAAAGCGAAAAAAATATGATATAAACATTACATATAATTATTGAATAAAAAAAATATATAACTAATTGTCATTCATTACTTAATTAAACCATATAGTTGAGTATTAAAGTTACTCCTCATAATACATATAAATAAACCTTTTTTTAAGAAACAAATCAACCTTTATGAGAGAAAATGTCTCTCATAGAGTTTAGTATGTCCAGCATATTCTCATAATCGCTAACTGACTTGTGCTTTTTGCAGTAGATAGTTCAAAATGTGTCATAAAACTTTTGTTTCCACCAGAGTAAAAGAATTGTTTGAACCAAAGGATTGTAAAATCGTATCGAAAAAGTTGGTAATAGAGTATTTTATATTGAAGTCATAATTTAACCGTGGTTAAATCATTTCGTGTTGCTAAATATCACTTAACGATTTAGCCTATGGTGTGAAGTTTTATGGTCGAACTACCGGTACGTACGATCTTTCAATTCAAACTTTAAATAAAAAACCACTAAAATATTGACATTATCAAATACCCTTTAAATCTCAGAAATTACTATAATCGTATTCAGGAAAAAATCATCCAAACAATAATATTGATTTAAGATTGATATGGAAAAAAATCTATCAACTATAATGTCATCTCCTTAAATAAATCAAAACTCAATAGAAGACGGTCAAGAAGACTCACTAAGCAAAACAAAAGGGCAATTATTACACAATACCTCATTTCCCCTCTTTTAAATGTGTCCTCTCGCTCTCTCTTTGTCTTCCTATTCAAAATGAGATTCTAACACCGAATGGGAGATTGTGTGTTCTGAATTTGGATGAATTGCAGAAAGAGATCCTTAAGGAAGCTTATTCCTCCTCTTATACGACCCTTCCAGGAACGACAAAGATCTAGCGTTCATTGAGGCCTTATTATTGGTAGCCTAGAATGAAGAATGAGGTGGCAGAACATGTGTTGACATGTTTGGTATGCCAGGAAGTGAAAGCTGAACATCATTTCTTGATAGTTTGGCTTTGCATTTCATCGTCCCTCGACATATTTCACGCTAGGTTGTGCTTGTTTTGATACATTTCAGGTCCTAGCACGTGTGGAAGGGTCGAGGACGAGTTTCGAGATGATTGGAGGTCAAAAAGCGCAAAAACCCGAAGAAAATTCCAAGTAGCAACCATGACAATTGTCCCGTGACAGTGAAGCGCCGGCGTCCAGGAACCAGCCGAAGTTCACGGTCAGAGCTGCGAGTTCACGATCGCCAGGACCGTGAACTGGAACCACAAACCGTGAACATTGAGGCATCCAACGAGGTTCCAGAAGTTACTGACTCCAAGGGAGTTCATAGTCGCTAAGACCGTGAACATGAGCCGTTGACCGTGAACTGCTGTAAGTGAAGCGGTACGTTTCGTCGCAACACACCGAGTTCACGGACACGTTGAGGTGTTCACGGCCGTGAACAGAGGCTGTGAACTGGGCCTGATCTCAGTATAAAAAGGGCTTTGAGATGAAGGAAGAGAGAGCTTCATTTGAGGTTAGGTTTTCATTTTCAGAATAAAGATGATTATAGTGAGAGATTAGGGTTACTTCTAGAGTGAGAAAGCGTAAATCAAAAGAGGAAGAAGGAGCTTTGGGCTTGTTCCTAGCTAGAGGATTAGAGATTTTGTCATCTCAATGGTGTCTCAAGCAACAAGGAGGAAAGATTGGCATCACTTCATGGTTCTTTCTTCCCCTTTTGTTGTTTTCCTTTGTCTAGCTATGGAATAACCTACCTACTCACTTGGGTATTGTGAATCCTAGTCTCTCTATGTGTTAGGATATAAGAACATGTCCCTATTGTATTGATTGAGTGTTTTATATGATATTTGAGGTATTATTCATGAATGATTGAGTGTGATAGCTTTAACTCAATATTGGGTAAAATTGACCTAGAGGGTGGAAATCCCCTTTTGGTCCAATAGGAAGCTAGACTTCTTAGCCACTTGGGTAACCTCCTTTAGGTCGATCTAAGACCAAAATCTCAAGTATCGGAGTAGGGCCGTGATTCCACCGGGATTGGTCACTCCGCCGACCGGATTAAGTTCCGAGGGTTTGGTTTGCATTCCTTAGTCGGCTAGTTGAGAGGGTTAGGTTTCCTAGCCTATCATTGTCACCCTTAGCCGAAAGGTAAAGTGAGTTAGCTTTCTAACTTGTTGCAACGGTTCTCAATTAGCTAACTAAGAGAGTTAGGGATCTCCTTGGTTGATCGGTAAAGAGGGCTAGGCTCTCTAGCTATGAATTACAATCCTTTACCTAACGGTTAAGAGAGCTAGTTCCCCTAGCTGATATTTATTGATTTTCCTTCATTGATCGACTAAGAGAGTTTGTCTCTAGCTAGTTGCGCCCACCTCGCGGTGTATGAACACATCCTTCACACTAGAGCTTTGTTTGTCGCTTCTTAGCATGAGACTAGGGGGAGCAATACCCGGGTGAAGCTCTCTCGAGTAGAATCCTCCACCATTTACTTTCATTGCTTGTTTAGTTTGTAGTTTTCTTAGTTTTAAACCCAAAACTGTTTTGCTAGATAACAACATAAGCGATTGAAGTAGGGGTACATGGAGCGGCCCGCGTCTGACAATTAAATACTTGCCCTATACTGCACCGACTAGAGTTTAAAAACTTGGGATCTAGTCGGGATTAATTTGTGGTGTAGCTCCGTGCGAGTCAAGGTCCAGCAGAAAAGTTGCAACCTCTATCCATTCCAGAATGAATGGGAGTAGGATACCATGAATTTTGTCTATGATTTCTAAAACCCAAAGAAAAAATGATATAGTGTGGGTGATTGTGGATCGACTAATCAAGTAGGCCCACTATATATCTATTTGTTCACTGAAATCTCTAGCAAGGAAGTATGTAGAAGAGATTGTGAGACTGCATGGGATACAAGTATAGGTGTCAATCGGGCGGGTTCGGGCGTGTTCGGGCTGGGTTCAATCGGGTTTGGGTTCAAACGGGCTGCGGGTTAGTCGGGTTGCGGGTTCATCGGGTTCGGGTTCATCGGGTTCGGGTTCAAACGGGTTGCGGGTTAGTCGGGTTGCGGGTTCATCGGGTTCGGGTTCAATCGGGTTGCGGACAAACGGGTTGCGGGTTCATCGGGTTTTGGGTCGGGCGGGTTGCGGGCGGGTCGGGTTTCGGGTTTTTCGGGCCAGCGCATCGAGTAACTTACTTATCACTCGTTACCAACTTACACATTTTATTACACTAATTTAAAATATTTTTCTCAACTTTTTAACCAATTTATTTCTACGTCGTATATATATACTTAATTTTGTTTTTAAACTAGTCAAAATGTTAAATCAATTTGTATGACTTGCAAACTTGGTATGTAATTAATCATAATTGGTAAAGTACACTAGCTAATAGTAATGGTGATATCAATATTTGCAACCAAAAGACACCATTAATTGTTTGTTTGATATTTTAGTATTATTTCAGTAGTAATTGGATTAAAGTATCTTGTTTAATATAACCATGCAAATATGGTATTTGGTTTGTGGTATTTGGCAAAAGCAGAGTGATAAAATGAGTTATTTCGAAATAACTCATTGCCCAAATAACTTCAGTAAACTATTGCCAAACGAGTTATTTGTAAAATTGTTTGAATTGTCCTAAAGATTAACTATCAAATTTAGTAAAATTATTGTGACTTCAATCATAACTTACTGAATAACATATATCCAATACAGTTAGCCTTATCCTCAATCGATAATATTAAGTTAGTATATGTTGTTGATTGAATACCCTAAACTATCAATACATTATACACTAACCACATACCCTATACCCTAACCATATGTCCTTATGAGTTGTAATTTTGCTAGTAGAGTTAATTTAAAAGTGAGATTCATACTTTGATTTTCAAAACATAGATAGAAAGTGATATTTGCTAATTGCTATACCTAGGGCTGCAAATGAGCCAAGCCGCTCACAAACAGCTCGCAGCTCGGCTCGAGAAATATTCGTTCGATACTCGGCTCGTTAGTTCGCT